CCAGATTCAGGAAAAGAATTGTGAGAAGTCACAGTATCCTGAGAAATACCACAGGAAGCTTCAAAAGTTGAAGAAGGTTTCTTCGGCTTGGAAGGAGAGGCAAAAGGGATATGTGCTTCATCCCTCATCAAGGTATACACCTTATCCCTAAGATCCTTCAAGGATGGAGGATCCTCAGTCTCCTTGGTGGGAGGTAGTTGAGCTGACTTAGAAGAAGGCTCAGGGGCCGTCTTCGATACCTTGGGAGAAGAAGAACTTTCAACATCCTCATCAGTGAGGAAAGCCCTTTCATGACTCCCAGGGGAAACAGAAAGCTCGTCATCCTCCCTCTCATCTCATTCTACAGACTTAGCTGGAGAAGGTTGATGAGAAGAAACTCTATTCTCCAGTAGAGACATACGACTGGATAGAGTACTAAATTCAGCCTTGAAAGACTCACCAAAGTCCAAAAGTAACTTCTGAAAACCATCCAAAGATGATGCATGATCAGAACCCTGAGTACCATGAGAAGAGCTAGAAGATTGAGCTCGAGAGTCAGGTACGGTGGTAGAAGGAGCTACTGCAGGAGTCAAAGATACTGCTACGGGTGGAGCAGGAGCTAAAGGTGGTGCAGAAGCTACCCCAGAAGGGGGACCATAGAAATTGTCCCTATAAGGCCAAAAACCAGGTTGGTTTGGCATAAACCCACCATATGGGTAAGACTGTGGCCAAGGTGGCTGAGACCATGAGGGTAAAGGTTGTGTGCCCGAGTTGGGAAGCATATACCCACAATAGGATAATGGGGGTCTAGAACCTGGTAAGTTCAAGCCCATAGCTGTACCTGGGACAGAACTAATAGTACCCGCTGAATTAACAGGCCTAGATAAAGTATGAGTCACCGAAGTTGATGTAGGTACCCCCCCAAAATGCATGGCCGAACCTTGTGAAAGGGTCGGATAGGTAGCATTACCAGACACCGTTGTCGAAACTCCGGTCAATGTACTGGTAGTTTGGGGGGGACTTAAAGGTAGTGACCCATCTAAGAGATAGTCCGAACCAGGAATATTTACGTACGGACTATTCAAATTAAAGTCCATAATAAAATTTACTTTAGTCAAAAAAAACACAAATAATTTGTTTAGAAATTCAAACTAAACAAGGGAATAAATTTCCAATAATATACACAATATATGAAAAGCAATTAAGCTATTCAAAAAACTTTACAAACAACTAAACACTTCTCTGTTGAATCTGTAAAAGTTTGCACGTGTGACCGATGTCGCAGATGGAAATTGAATGGGAGAATATGGGCAAACAGGGGTATATGTCCGGACCAGTGAGAGTACGTTTATTTTTAGTCGGGATTTTCCATCTGACCTATGACGCAATTGGGGTTACACTCAGAATTTATGATGGTAACGTATTTATAGCTATAAAATTAACATTAACCAAGTAAACTAACATTGACCAATGAACCATGAAAATGAGGTAAAGGTCAGATTAACCATGCTAGGCAGGCATGTTCAGCTAACAATTCTTCCATACAACAAATATAGTTGACCTATTGCTGATAGTTTAAGACAAGAGCAACTTAACATTGACCAATGAACCATGAAAATGAGGTCAAGGACAAATGACACCTGCCAGACAGACATGTACACCTTACAATCATTCCATACACCAAATATAGTTGACCTATTGCCTATAGTATTAGAAAAACAGACCAAAACACAAAAACTTAACATTGACCAATGAACCATGAAAATGAGGTCAAGGACAAATGACACCTGCCAGTCAGACATGTACAACTTACAATCATTCCATACACCAAATATAGTTGACCTATTGCTTATAGTATTAGAAAAACAGACCAAAACACAAAAACTTAACATTGACCAATGAACCATGAAAATAGGTCAAGGACAAATGACACCTGCCAGACAGACATGCACACCTTACAATCATTCCATACACCAAATATAGTTGACCAATGGCTTATAGTATTAGAAAAACAGACCAAAACACAAAAACTTAACATTGACCAATGAACCGTGAAAATGAGGTCAAGGTCAGATGAAACCTGCCAGACTGACATGTATCCCTTATAATCATTCCATACACCACATTTAGCTGACCTACTGCTTGTAGTATCTGAGAAACGGACCTAATCACCTAACTTTAACCTTGATCACTGATCCATGAAATGAGGCTGAGGTCAGGTGAACCCTGTCTGATGGACATGTAGACGTTGCAAGGAACCCATATACCAAATATAGTTATCCTATTACTCATAATAAGTGAGAAATTTACATAACAAAAAAACTAAACTTTTTTTTCAAGCAGTCGCTGAACCATGAAAATAAGGTCAAGGACATTGGACATATGACAGACGGAAAGTTCGTAACATAAGGTATCTGCATACAAAGTATGAAGCATCCAGGTCTTCTACCTTCTTAAATATAAAGCTTTATACAAATAGTTTACGCCGCCGCCGCCGGATAGTAATACCTATGTCTCACTTTCTGCGACTTTCGTCGCAGGCGAGACAATAACTAGCAGTGCAAGCTATTTGTTATCCATAATTATATTCTACACAACAGACAATACCAGAAACCATTCATATGTTTAACAAAATGTCTTAAAAGAGGTCATTTCTATTTTAGAGCTCTTTTCCTAATGCTTGTAGTTTAAAGGTTTGGTTGACTTGCTTGCTTTGTTTGTATAAATGTTTGCTCAAGCATTGTAATTAAGATTGACATCTGCAATCAGTAGATAGGCGGGCTTCATCTTGTATACATTGTACTTAAATGTAGCATAATACAGAGTATAATGTATACAAGCTGAAGCCCCACCTATCTACAATGCTTGAGCAAGCAAGTTAACCAAACCTTTTAACTACAAGCATTAGGAAAAGAGCTCTAACAAAAAAAAAATCTTGTTCAAACAAATATTGCTCAGGTAAAATAGGTATGGTACAAGCTTTTTATTGACAAATATTGGGTCTAAACTCTATCTCCTGACAACATTCAACTTGATATGACATTTGTAAGCAAATTTCCTAGCACATAAATGGTTTCTGTCGTACAATACGTATTGTGATGTAAGACATGTAAGGTAAAATCAGTTATCCATATAGCTTTTTCAAGGGGAAATCAAGGCCACAATTTGCATGGGTAACAATACATGAAAATGAATACTATATGCTTTTGATATGGATGAGGGTCTGACTGAATGGGGTTTACAGAATAGGGACTTATGGACTAAAACGTAGAATAAAGAACCAAAAAATAAAGAATTGAGAAAAATAGGCAAAAAAAATAAAGAATAAAGTATAATGGGGTGCTAAAATATAAATAATGGAGAATAAAAATAAACTGTTAACACAGAGATATGTCTCGCCTTTATCGTTATTTTGATAGTAAAATGCAAATGTTGAAATTAAAATAGCAATACATTAACATGTAAGTTGTGCAAAATACTCAGTCACTAGACCATGACTTAGGGGGCGAACCAAATAATCTTCATGGAAATGAAATGTGCCAATGCTAAAACAACTGCAAACCAAATATCATGGACCTACCACTAGTGGTTTTCCATAAACTGACCTAATCAGAAACTAATACATGTAAACTAAGCAAAGGTTTCAAAGGCAATAGACCAGGAAATGAGATGTGCCAATGCTATAACAACTGCATACCAAATATCATTGACCTACCACTAATGGTTTCCCATAAACTGACCTAATCAGAAACTAATACATGTAAACTAAGCAAAGGTTTCAAAGTCAATAGACCATGACTGAGGGGGTGGGACCAAATAATCTCCATGGAAATGAGATGTGTCAATGCTAATACAACTGTATCATTGACCAATTGCTTATGGTTCCCCATAAACTGACCTAATCACAAACTAATACATTGTCGATGCTTCCACTGCAGGAAACAGCAAACCTATGTCTCACTTTTTGACTCCTTCAAGGCAAGACAAAAAGAAAAGAGAACAATAGCCCAACAAATTAAAAAATAGTTATGAAGGGCCCTCCATCCAGACCCTCATGGACGCAGTGAACTGAAATTAACTTGTACATTAAAAACATTCATCTAAATTCTTAAATTTCTACATGCAATATTATAGAGGAGAAGTTGCACTTTTAATATCAATAGACATTTATAATCCCTAATTAATTATCAAAGTATATTTGTGGTGGATATATCCTCAAGACATTGTCTGTTGGGGTATAAATTTACATGACTTAGTACAAATAGGTTTTGATATGATGTAATTTGAGTATGAGTTATTTCCCTTGGCCACCATTTTGGAGGGAAAATGGTTGATTTGTTTATTTGACTAATGAAATTGAAACATGTGGTACAAACAAGTCTAATTAAATATCCTTACTGGAATGTAGGGGTGAATATAGCAAGGCTAAAAGAAATTTAAATTGTTCAGAAAACAACTTTTCTAAAGTCTAGCAGTCAGTATAATAAGTTAAATTTGGCTGATTTATGAAAGAATTTGTGAACCTAGACCTCTAACAAGGACACAAAAGGGAAGTAACTCTTTCTCAAATTGTGTCAATCAAAACCCATCTTTTATTGCCACTAAGGTACACAAAGATAGATTCAGTTAAATATCATTCTTGGTGCTGACTTTTAATGTTGAATGTGTGCGATTTTAACGACTCAAGTCTGTAATATCTTCCTGAAATCATTTTATATGACAGGATTGTTATCACCTTAAATCGCCAAAAATCTGTGTGTTTCACGAAAAATTTACTCAACATCAGAGTGATTTTTAACTTAATTACATTGTGTATACTGTATAATGCATTCTGAATATTCATATAATAAACAAATTTCAACCACAACAACTATAAATACTTCCGACTGAAATATCAAAAATACACAAATTTGCCAACACAGTACGCATTCTATGCTCATGCAATTATAATTAAACCATAAACCAAATACATGTAGGACTACGTCAGATGGTCATGCATGCATGACTTGCAAGGCTGTTACCTTGGAAAGGTCATTTGGATTCACGTAATTCATACCCATAGCTCCCCCTGAAACACTTGAATCCTGGAATTTAATGTTTATACATGTTTTACACATTAAAAAAGTCAATTGTCAAATGTTAAAATAGATTTAAATGTTCATTCCTAGGAAATATGTTAATTAAGTGAAAAGATATTTTGAAAGAAAAAACTAGTAAAAAGATATTCTGAATTAATGATATATAGTTTAAAGGATTTTTTTCTTTGTCATCATGGCATACAGGTTGTTAATAAGTCCAATCGATCAATTGATGAAAATTACGTTTTTTACTAATTGAAATATTTTTAACATTGATTTGGTATAGGTCATACCCACATCTGCTGGTGGGGAACGCTCTACCTGAAATTAACCATAATCATAATAATTTGACAAACATTCCTCATATGATGATAAAAAAAATAAAAACCTCATATTTAAACTGAATCATCTTTTCTTATTAAAATTGCAGGCTGCTTCTAGGGAAATTTATCTTTTTTTCTTCTTATCCTAAATTTTTAGGTTCACATCTTTAACTCAATAGGTTCAAATCTTTAATTTAGTTATAAACATTCCCAGCAGATTGAATACTCTTTGTAAAAGCTAAAGTCATCTAAACACAGAACATGTAACCTCTTTTCCTCATCTATTCCTTATCTGCCTACATGACAGTTAACCAGCCATACAATCCATCAGATTACTCCTTTTTACAACCTGGTCAAAAATTGATGGTTTGTCTAAATTTTATGTCATTCTTTTATCTAAATTCTATGTCGTTTTTTATCTAAATTTTATGTCATTCTTTTATCTAAATTCTATGTCCTTTTTTATCTAAATTTTATGTCATTCTTTTATCTAAATTTTATGTCATTCTTTTATCTTAAGTCTATGTCAATTTTTTTTTATCAAACTATAAATCATAAAAATAAAATAACTCCCCCTCTTCAGACATGTTAATTTTGAGAGGTTCTTATTTGACAATTCTTGAACATTAACGAAAGAAATTTGATATCAATGATTATATAAGTTACTTACAGAGCCCCTTCTTTCTACTACAGTCTGGTTAACAGGATACTTTAACTTTATACGATTATATAATGGATTCTTTTCGTAGTATTGCACTAAATCCACTAAACTTTCAAATGTCGCCTCTCCTATCACAAATAATCTGCCGTCTACTTCTATACGACAGTGCTTAACTTTATTATCCGCCCTGAAAAATGTATTTTTTTTCAAAACATAAAAAATCTAAAAGACAAGTACAATTTAATCTTAAGAGAAAGAACAATGCAGTCCGATATATGAATACTGTAGTGCCCTAATGTTGTATACATCCTCATACTCTGGTTTCATATAGACAGATGTCTCCTTGAGAAACATCTCTTTATTTTTATAGACACTAAGATGTTAATTTTAATAACTTTGAAAAGTTGTTGGATTTTTGTCTTTTTTGTGCTGTTGAATTTTAGTGTTTTGTTTCTGTGTATAATTATTTTTACAAAATTATTATCAGACTGTCATCCTTTTTTTGCATTTCTAATTAATGTTTTTCTGTTAGTTATATCACTTAAAAGGAGTTTTATTGACTGCAAAGATATAGTTACACCAAGATTAATTAAAAGACCTAAAATAGACAATATCTCTGTTTGATTTTACAACAAACAGTGAACTAATAGGTCATGCTTAAAATAATTGACATTAGAACCAGAAAGTTCATCTTTTGCATCAAGTTTACTCCATTTGACTGTTTTAATAAAATACCTGAATGAAATTGCATAATTATTTTGTGCTCCACGTCGTAGAAGGAACGCACCATCATTCTGTATACGTCTCAACATGTCTTCTGCTTCTACACGCTCCATGTTGTCATGGTACCATCTGAAATGGTGTAAATAAACTCAAGTTTATATAAAAAATTTACAGGAATAATTCTACATCATTTTCTTTGAATCCAGGTATATTTTTACTTAAAAAAAGGCAGAAGATCAAAACCTCTGTATTAACTAGGTAATCAGAAATTGCAATGACAAGACTAAAACAACAAGAAGTCAGCAAGAGAGGTGTTTAGATACTGTGAACTCATTATTATACTGCAACTAGTTGTGTTTTTTTCCTAAATATAGTAACACAGTTATATTTTGTACAATGTCAATTTCATCATGGATCACTTTTTCCACAATCAGGGGTTCATTTAGGGATGAAAATAAGTTTGAAATTTGTGTTACAATTTAAATAGCTATCAATGCATTAATTTAAGTTGCAGTATAAAAACAATATTAGGTCAATGTCAGAAAAATATAAACTTTTTTGTATTCGCCACAACAACCTTGCCCTTCCCCAGTTTCTCAGCCTCATACAAAAAAGTTTATATTTTTCTGACATTGACCTAATATTGCATATTTATTCATTGGATACCAATTTTCCTGGAATTTGTGGGTACAGGTGAACCATGAACTTAAATTTTCAATGAATTCCACATTTTTTATAGGCTTGTATGCAGACTTTGTCAAAACCACGAAATCAAATATCCAGGAAAATGCCACTTTTCCTCATGTTCCTCATTACAAGAAAAATTGATACTCATGAAAATAAATAAAATCCACAGCAAACAGGAAAAAAACAATACTACATTTTTGAAAATAGATGATTGATTGTTGGTTGCTTAACGTCCAGTGGCAAATATTTCATGCATATTCAAGATGATTGGAAAATAGAAACTATGAACGAAATTGGAATTGGTATCAGCTGATTGAGAGGGATAGGGTATGCTGCTTTGATTAAGATTTGCATGGATAATAATATAATGCTTTAAATCAGAGGCTCTGCAAGGACAATAATATGCTTCTATGATTCAGGGGCTCTGCAAGAACAAGAATATGCTGAATATGTTGCTTTGAACCAAGGATATCCTCATGAAAGGAATCCATTTGAATGAATAATGAATTTGATGTCATTTGGATTAATTTCCATGGTTTCCAGCATATGAGAGTAATATTCTTTGAAAATTAAATTTTCCTTTGGGTTTTTATTATTGGATAATGCTTATCCATGAAATAATAAAATGCTCTGCTGGGCGCAGCTTGATACGACTGCAGAGGTCGAACCCTGAAGCCTCAACATTCAAGCTTGATACAGTTGGATTGTAACTAAATATTTGACACAGCATAGGTTTCTGACACAGAATGAATGTCGTCTAAGAACTCAAAAATTTTTTAATTTACCTACTCAAACCATATCATTATTATTTGCTTTTATATATAAATCAGAAATAACCAATTTAAAATGGAAAATTTAAAAGAAAAAAAATGAAAAAAAAATCCCCCCCCCCCCCCCCCAATTTTTTAAACCCCCTTATGATTCATCACCCCCAAACTCAATCCCAGCCTTCCCTTTGTGGTATGGTACCTTGCAGTACAATTTCAGAGAGATCCATACACTTGAACACAAGTTATTGTCTGGAAACTAGAAAAATGCTTATTTTTGGCTCCTTATTCCTAAATGTTTTGAGCAATTACCCCCAAACTCAATTCCAGCTTTCCCTTTGTGATACGGAACCTTGTAGTACAATTTCATAAAGATCCATACACTTACACACAAGTTATTGTCATGAAACTAGAAAAATGCTTGTTTTTTGCCCCTTTTTTGGCCCCTTATTCCTAAAATTTGGAGGCAATTACCCCCAAAATCAATCCCAGCATTCCCTTTGTGATATGGAACCTTGTGGTACAATGTCAGAGAGATCCAAACACTAACACACAAGTTATGTCTGGAAGTTACAAAAATGCTTATTTTTGGCCCCTTTTTGGCCCCTAATTCCTTAACTGTTGGTACCATTACCCCCAAAATCAATCCCAACCTTCTTTTTGTGGTATTGAACCTTATGGTAAAATTTCATAGAGATCCATTCACTTCAACTAAAGTTAGAGTGCGAAAACCAATGTGTCTAAGGTCAACGACGACGACGCCAACGTCATACCAATATACGACCACAAAATTTTTTTGCGGTCGTATAAAAATAATCAAAACCCCCCAATGAAAATTTTTTCCTTTACAGTATTTGTGATTAAAAAGGTCATTAAAATGAAAAAAGATCAAGCCATTTAGTAACAGGACATGATATTAGAAATCGAAGAAAGATTTAATCATGTGCTAATTTATGCAAAATAAAACTACTATGTAACTGAAAGTGTTAATTACGTAAAATGAAAATTAATCTAATTTTCTCCAGATATGGCACATTCTTTATATTTCCTTTTTTGTAATATGCTAAAACAGTAGCTCATTTATTCTACTGTGGATTCATTATTATTCGTGAGATATCAATTTCTGTGGATGTTGTGGGTAAATGTGATACAATTTGTCTATATATCTCAACAGACAACAAAGATACAGTATTTCAAACAAAAACTGTTACATTTAAAAATAATTTAATTTTGGATGTTTGACGTCTTCTGATTGGCTGAAAGTTTTTTGTCTATCAGCTCATAGACATTATTTTGTCATGTGACCGTGACGTCATTAACGTTTTTTCATGATTTACTTTTTAAAAATGGAATTTGGAATTAAATTATAAGGAATGACTGTAATATTTTTCTGTCAATTCCAAATAACCACAAAAATGTGGTGCACACTTTTAAATAACCCACTATGCGGGATATTCAGTGTGCACCACATTTTTGATGTTTTTTCTTTATTACAGTCATTCCTAACTTAAAAAAAAAAGAAATTGACTGTCATGCTACCTTAAAGAGTCATCCATACCCAACCCCTTTCACCACCCCTGCCCCTATTCTAACATTATTATAACAGACGTACTCTTTTCCTTCGTGACTGTTAATCTGAGGAACGGGTTCTGAAAGACGCATCGAGAAATCCTGTCCTCGTACCGGGTTGTTTCTGTAGTTCGTGATAAGATCATACAAACTATCAAATAATGCTGTCTCTATCAAGTAATATTTCAACTGCCCTAACTCTTGTTTGGTTTTAATTCTACAATGCTGGGTTTCTCCACGTCTCCTAAAAACAGAATAACATATGATTTTAATATAGTGCAATTAAAAGAGGATACAGTGAATTCATTATTATTCATGGGATACAATTTTCATGGATTTCTTGGGTATAGATCAACAACAGATTTAAATCTTCAAGTGTCAATTTTCTATAGACTTGTATGTAGATGTTGGCAAAACAACAAAGGCAAATATCCATGAAATTCATTTTTTTCTCAATCCACAAAAATTAGTATCCACAAAAATAAATGAATCCACAGTATGCATGTATGTGCAGGAAAGATTGTGAAATAAAAGTTTGATTTCATCATGAATTTAAAAAATAAACCAGTACTTTTCTATCTCTTTCCATGAAAACCAGCAAGTAGCCTTCCAGTATGTAAATAGACCAAGTAAAAAAAATTGTAAAGAATTTTGCAGAACCCTGTGCCCAGTCTGAAATTGTTACTGTCTTTGTATTAGTTAAATCTGTATTAAATTGTTAAATGCAAAAATATGCTAAATTACATCAAAACAAGAATGTATAGAAAATAGGATTTTCTTGAGATGCAATTTATAAATCAACTTTCAATATTGTAGCAGTATCTTACCAGAAGGACAGTGAATAATCTCCTATAAAAGTTTCACTTTCTCTGACTAGAAAAGTACCGTCTCCAAGGTAACTGTGGTTGTTTAGTAACTCATCAGCCTTCCTGCGACCCCCTTCTAACTTGCCATGGAACCATCTCTCACTGTAATGTAATTCTGTACTGGACTGGTTCTATAAATAGACGTAGCATAGACATTATTCCCTAAACAAATAAAAGTTAATAAATTATCTTTGTCTAATACTCTCCAATATACGTGCAAAATCAGGTGAACATAAACTTCATAACACAAGTCTATCACTTGGAAATTTTCCAAAAAAAAAAATTATATTACACAATTCGTATGTTGCAAGTTGGTCATACTTCCTTTCCCAAGTAAGGAGACCTTGCCTATTGTTGTCAGTATCTTGATGTTTTTGGGAATTCTGTGCTGATAGGTTTTGTAAACTTAGTTAAAATAAGTTTCCAACTTCCCTACAGACAGGAGGATTAAGACCTTGACGTATGGTACATGAACTTATCTGTTATTTGTTTGTTCACTTCTAGATTTCTTTTTGGTTATATTGTATTGTTGTGTTGCTGTCATTGACATTTAATACCCATGACTTTTATAAATATTGATTTTCACACAAAATATGTCTTATTTTGGCATTTTCTTTCTGAATATTTACTGTGATATCTCTTACAAAGTAGAGTATATTCATCTCTCATCAAATAGTATCATCTTAAATATCCATGTACAGACTAGATTAAACCAGAGAATAAAATTGATACCAACTACTTTTGCTCCTAGCATGCTGCAACTGAGCATTATATTCTCAAGACAAAAGATGACTAAGAGTCAGAATAATGTGTCTTCCCATAGACTGTTACCACTGGTTTAGTACAAATCAAAGATCATACTCATATGCATGTGATATTTGCAGATAGACTTTTCATCAATCTTGCATTTGATCAATTTTAATTTCCCTGACAGAATTAACCAGTTGTGAGAAAATTGATTAACGCTTAGTCAGAGTATCAGTGTAAAATTTGTGATTCATAAAAATTCTACAAAAACTTGTACCGTGTTTTTAGGGTTGTGACTTGTCCCCCCCCCCCTCCCCTAGATGTTTTACATTGAAGTCATTTATTGTTCTTTCTAACTCATGTCTCTTTTTACTGATTATATTTTCCTAAAAACTCACCTGTGTTTGAGACTGAGACAATAAATCTTCGTCAATCTCATCATCATTGTCTTGGTCAGTTTCTTTTGTATAAAATAATCTAGTTGCTGTCAAAGCAAAGAAATGAGGATGCCATACCTAAAATATAAATATACAAATTACAACCACCATATAAGATATGCTTAGCTTGACTACGACATGTACCTAGATTTAAAATACACAAATATGTAGTATCATATTCATAAATAAAATGGAAAGTACAAATATGGTGTAATAATTCATGACACAAAATCTCTATGCACACTAGAAAATCTAACACTTAGGAACAGCACTTTTTTGCTGCTCTTCATTTCAAAGTTACAAGATTAGACTTCTTCATTAGAAATGTATAATTCATCAAAATCATTGAAAATAAAAGAAAGGTTTATGTTCTTGTTTTTGAAATTCTGGCATTTGAAAAACCAAAATTGTTGGTTGAAAAATGAGTTATCTGGATTTTTACGCATAAAAAGTAAGGGAATAAACAATACTGAAAAAAACCATGAATTTAAACTGAGTTTACTGACATACATGTCAATACAAATAACTTATTAAACAACAATATTTATGATTAGTTAACAACTGCCTCAAGATTTAACAACTCGTTAGGCTTAATCATGTTAATCATTGTTAAATTTAGCAACATATTTGAACAACAGGGCCCAGATGATTCAGTTTAAATAATGTTATAAAAGTGTTTTATAAATTAAATCATTTATTTCTTTGTGTGTTTGTAAATATTCCATCACTTCAACATACATATGCATGTGGCATACAGTGAGTTTTTGTTCTCTGTTAATTTTATTGTTAAATCATGCTCAATGAGAAATGATCATACAGACTTGAAATTGTCTAAAATGAGCAAAAAGTATAATAAACAAGAATATGTGTCCGTAGTACACCTAGCTGGCAAACCATAGCTCTTATGATATTTATTGACAATTTGCAGTCTTCAGTTTTGCAGCTTTAGTACATCTCTCAAGGGTAATAATCATAATTTGGCACATAGTTTTAAAATATCGCATCATAATTAACAGGTATGCAAAGTTTCAAGTTGATGTAACCACCAACTCAGGGTAAACTACCTAAATCAAATACTTTATCCTCAGAATGTACTGGTTTCACACTATATTAATTAAAGAATCAATTCCTCTTATACAAAGTGCGTAATTTGGGTCAAAAAGGCCCTCATCCTTTTATGCAGTGCTCAATGTATGAAAATTAGTTAAAAATATTGTATCAATTAACAAGAATATGTGTCTATTGGACATCATACTGATCAGCTCATATGAGGGTCATAATGGGGGTACCTTCATGACGAATAATGGTAAAAAATCTTGCCAAATAACATTAACGGTAATTTTTGGTGCATGACGATAAAATGTACACTTTCTTTTAGACGATAAAAAAATCGACACGTTAATTTTATTCCAAAAATAACGTTAACCATAATTATTTGAGACATCTGACGTATCACGATATGGATATTTTGACGAATCACGGTAAAATTTTAACCAATTTGACGCTAACGGTAGCAAAAAATGACAGTTTGACGCCTGACGGTAAGCGGCATTCCTACCCTCATATTTCCATGTTCATTGAATTACAAAATTAGGGTCAAAACACAAATTATGTATCTACTTAAAAAAGTTTATATCATAATTAACATGTGTACTAAGTTTCTAGGTGATGTGGTTACAACTTCATGGTAATCTACCTCAAATCAAAACTTTAACCCGATACAAGAAAGACTAACGGACATAGTAACGGACTGACTGACACACAGATTAGAAAACATCATGCCCCTAATTTTGAAGATGGGGCAAAATCTGTTCTCATTTTAGTGACTCTACTGTCAATTTGTTACTTTGTTAGGAGAAAGACAGTTTGTAGAAATTTTTTGTTACAGAAATAATGTCTGATATCATTAATTAGATTTTGTTTAAAACCATGCAAATATTAAAGTGAAAAATGAACTCCTTATTCATGTTATGTAAGATTTAACGAGTGATAAAATGTTTTCATTGTTAGTTTGATGATAGATATTACAAAATGTCCCAAGGTCTCTATGAAACTTTTATTTTTTCAAAAATGTCTTTCACTGCAAAATTTGTTGCTGTCAGTTTATTTCCACATTGTTGTAAATAGTTATATACTTACACAACTATGTTTTTTGTGTCAGAAATGTACAGATTGATTTTCCTGCACAAATATATATTTCATTATGCCAACAAAAAAAATTGCAGATACAAAATCTTATGTATGTAAGTGAATTCAATATAAAATAAATCTTGAATGTGTCCATAGGACACAGATGATGTCCCCGCTTGCATATAACGTTACAAAGGGATATAACTCAAGAACTGTAAAAGTGACGCTACCCAAATTTGTACTTGATCTGACTTTTGTGGTAATAAGCATTGTGCATAAGTTTCATAACATTTGGTTGAAGCAAACTAAAGTTAGAGAACAGAAACAAATGTTTCAGGAATTTCTCCATTTGTAAAGTGTCATAACTCTAAAACGGTAAAAGTGACGCCACTAAGATTCAAACTTGATCTGTGTTTTTTGGTGATAAGCATTGTGAATAAATTTCATAACATTTAGTTGAGGCAAACTAAAGTTAGAGAACGGAAATGAAAAATTCAGCAATTTTTCCATTTTTTTCCCATTTGTAAAGGGGCATAACTTTATAATGGTAAAAGTGACGCCACCAAATTTCAAATTTGACCTGTGCTTTGTGGTAATAAGCATTGTGTATATGTTTCATAACATTTGGTTGAGGCAAACTAAAGTTAGTGAACAGATACGAAAAATTCAGCAATTTTTCCATTTGTAAAGGGGCATAACTCTAGAACGGTTAAAGTGACGCCACCAAAATTCGAACTTGACCTGTGTTTTGTGGTAATAAGCATTGTGTATAAGTTTCATAACATTTGGTTGAGGCAAACTAAAGTGAGAAAACGGAAACATTGTAAAGGGGCATAACTCTAGAACGGAAAAAGTGACACCACCAAAATTGATACTTGATCTGTGTTTTGTGGTAATAAGCATTGTGTATAAGTTTCATAACATTTGGTTGAGGCAAACTAAAGTTAGAGAACTGAAACGAAAAATTCAGCAATTTTTCCATTTGTAAAGGGGCATAACTCAAGAACAGTAAAAGTGACAAGAGTAAAACTTAATGCCCCCTCCGCTACGGCGGGGGCATAATACAATGTATCTTAACCTGACAGCAGTCAAAGTGGTTAACATCATTTTTATCCGAAAATCATTTCCCTGGTAACTGTAAATTCAGAAAGTATTGCGTGCATTTCTTATTGCGATTTTTGAAGAATGGATAAACATGCCAGATTAATAATTGTGATTTCAGGAAAATCTGCATACAGATATATGTATCAGATATCAGAATGTGAGTTCTTATTATTGCAATAATCACAAAGTTACATTATTCGCATAAATATAAACCTGGCAATAATTTCAGAATTTACAGTATTTGAGACAATCAGTAGATAAGAAATGTTGTATGTTTATTTCAGTTTTATAACTTACTTTTGATTCCTTAATTAAAAAAGACATAATTTTCATTACTCAAATTGAAAATATTAACACATTTATAGCATTTAAAAAATCAAAGTAAGAGACTCAATTTGTGTACTTTTACCTAATTAGTATATGAACATTTTATAAGGGAACAATCAGGCACAAATAATAAGAAATACATTTTATGGAATGTGCATAAGGTTCATCAAATTAATCATGGTATCTTGTAATTTTGTATTTATACAGAAGAAAGAAACCTATTCAGGACTCACTAACTAGCAGAGCGTACCAGAAAAGCTTTTAAAAGCAAAAACGATTTACGAATCAACAAGAGTGAACACGCTGCCATTTCTCGCCTACTTTACTTACCATATATTTTGTGTTGAAATTCTTAAAGATAAAGGTTTTACTACAAGTATCACATAAACTTAACATTATCACATAAACAAAACATCACACAGACTTGACATAGTTGACCTATAGCTAAAGATAATTGAAAAACAGACCATAACACAAAAAACTTAACATTGACCAATGCACAGTGAAAATGAGGTCAAGGTCAGATGATACCTGCCAGACATGTTCACCTTACAATCATTCCATATACCAAGCATAACTGACCTATTGCTATAAGTATTTGAAAAACAGACCAAAACACATAAAACTTAACATTGACCAATGAACAATAAAAAAGAACTCAAGGTCAGAAGATGTTACCTGCCAGACAGACATGTACACCTTACAATCATTCCATACCACAAATATAGCTGACCTATTGCTATTAGTATTTGAAAAACAGACCAAAACACAAAAACGTAACATTAACCAATGAGCCATGAAAATGAGGTCAAGGTCAGATGATACTGGCTAGAAAGACATGTGCATGCACCTAACAATCAATCCATACACCAAATATAGTTGACCTGTTGCTTATAAACTTGAAAAACAGACCAAAACACAAAAACACAACATTGACCAATCAACCATGAAAATGAGGTCAAGGTTAGATGAAACCTGACAGACTGACATGTACCACTTACAATCATTCCATACACTACATAAAGTTGACCTACTGCTTATGGTATCTGAGAAACAGAACTAAACTCATAACTTTAACCTTGATCACTGATCCATGAAATGAGGTCAAGGTCAGTTGAACCTTGTTTGACAGAAATGTAGACAATGTAGGATCACATATACCAAATATAGTTATCAAATTACTCATAATAAGTGAGAAATTCACATGACAAAAAACTAGAATTTTTTTTCAAGCAGTCACTGAACCATGAAAATGAGTTCATGGACAATGGACATATGACAGATGGAAACTTCATAACATAAGGTATCTGTATACAAGGTATGAAGCATCAAGGTCTTCTACCTTCTGAAATATAAAGCTTTATACAAATAGTTTACACCCCTGCCTCATAGTGATCCCTATGTCTCGCATACTGCGATTTTAATAAACTAGAAGACAAGATGTTCCTGTCTGTTGCTGAAGTCCAAGGGCTTTATAATTCTTTGAAAAGAACGTAAACATAAACAAATGTAAAACTCAATCTGAAACTCACCATTATAAACTTGTAATAGGGTAATTTTTAATTTGTGTTTCAAGTTTTTAGTCATTTTTTTTGGAGAATATTTTATTTTGAAAATTGTATAATTATTATGTCAGATAAATTTTGTTCTGTCAGCATAAATTTGAAATTAGTAATACCTGTCATAATTTGAGCTCTTTTCAGCCGGTTTCATAAATAGCATGATCAATAACTTGAAATAAGTTATGATGTAGTCACAAGAGAATCTCGTTCGGTGTGATTCAAAAAGGAGTGCTTCAAAGCCAACCAGGGCTCAGCTACTCAGTAGAAACGCTAAATCAAAAGACTCAGCTCAACACAACTATGATCATTTCAACTAGACAACATTTAACTCTTCATTAACTTGGAACATTTGGACTTAAAACTTAAAACTAGTAAAATTAGTGACATTATTATTTGGAACATAATGTTTGATTATCTCCCTTTATCTCAATAATTACATTAGATGTATGTTTCATTATAATACGTTATTCTGATTGGCTACACTGCAATCTCGCGTTATTCCTTAATCAACTTCATTACACAATAAAATTTATCATTCATGATGACACGAGGTCCCACAATAAAGTGCAAAGGTAAATTAAATAAAAACTTGACAAAAATCGTTTTCATGATCCTAGCTAAAAAATGTAATTAAAAGTATTGAATGCTTCTTTTTGTAACTTCATAGGGTTGTAAAAGCGTTGACCGTGCGCACATTTTTAGAATGAAGCGCTTCTGCTTCTGCGCTTCATACAAAATGTACTTCGGTCAACGCTTTTACACCCCAATGAAGTTACAAAAAGAAGCATTCAATTCTTAAATATCTAAAGGGATAAATTTTAAAAGTCAGGAAAACTTTCAGATTTTGGAAAAAAACAGAAAACACTACATGCCCTAGCCAGTGTGATTGGTGTGTGTAGGGGGAGGGGCAAAAATCATTTTCTTTTTTAGCAAATATTCCTCACCATCAAGAATTGAATTCATTAACCTAGTATAAAGTTTTGGCTAACCCTGTATTAACAAATCCTATTTAAACTTAGAACAAGTCTATATTTCTGAAAATAAGATTTACATCATGATCACCACATCTATGTCCGAAAAAACAAATCACTTTATATACACTTACAGGCTCCATTGGATCCTCTAGATAAAGTACACCTGTTCTAATGGCAGAACTACTGATGTCATTGTCCCCTGAAAAGAAATGTTACATGGTAAAGAACAATGTCACATGATAAGAACAATGTCACATGGTAAGGAATAATGTCACATGGTAAAGAACAATGTCACATGATAAGAACAATGTCACATGGTAAGGAATAATGTCACATGGTAAAGAACAATGTCACATGGTAAGGTTAGTAAGTGTCATATGACTTGTTTTAAAGGCACAACTAATACTACTTTCATAACTTAGATTGATTGATTGATTGATTGGTGTTAAACGCCACTTTCAACACTATTGTGCTATTTCGTGGCGGTCAGTTTTTATTGGTGGAGGAAGCCAGCGTGCCCTGAGAGAAACACAGACGTTCGGTATGAAAACTGACAATCCTAGTTAAGATTGGAGTCAAGCACCTGACCCATTCCGGATTCGAACTCACAACCTCAGTGTTGACTGGCTAGTGATACAGTAGTTCGACTACTTAGACCACACGGGCAGAGAGGCCACCTCATAACTTAGAAGCTGCATCACTAGCTGATTATGATGACTGTTAATTTCAAATATTGTACAATACACTTTATTTATCCAATCCATGAAGTCAGATTTAGGATCAGATAATGAAATTAAAGACACCAAAAATTTCAACTTACAGTGGAGTCATTTATTTTCGCTGGTACAATGTACCAATTTTCGTGGATTGAGGAAAACTTGCATTTTTCCATTCATATTTGATTTTGTAGTTTTGCCAAAGTCTACATACAACCTCATAAAAAATTTATTTAATCGTTGAACATTTGAATTCGTGGTTCACCTGTACCCACAAAAATTGGTATCCAACTAAAAATAATGAATCCACAGTATTTCAGATAAATTTTGACTTGTCAGAATCAAAATTGATTTGATTTAGAATTTTGGTGTTTTTATGCCACTTTTAAGCACCACTTTTGGGCTATTTCGTGGTGGTAAGTTTTTATTGGTGGAGGAAGCCAGAGTGCTTGGAGAAAACCACCGACCTTCGATAGGAAAACTGACAATCCTAGTCAATTAAGATTGGAGTCGAGTGCACCCGCACGAGCGGGGTTCTAACTCACAACCTCAGTGTTGACTGGCTAGTGATTACAGTAGTAACTACTTAGACCACTTGGCCATCGAGGCCCCTAAAAAAAAAATCAAAATTGAAAAATGAGATGAAAATTAACAGTATTAATCAAGAAACTTTTGAGTAAATTTCTTGATCTTAACCTTAATTTGTGATAAAAATCCATAGACTTACTTTCCTCTGAGCTTCTGACTGTAACAAATTGGTCCTCACTTCCCTCTCGTGGTAGCTTTTTATGCTGTGAAAGAAATAGGAAAAAGAAGATGTTATGTAATGTAAAGGAGTAAAATTAACTAGAGTTAATCTAAAGAATCTAAAATTTATCAAACAAGCATCCCGTTCATTGCTGTGAAGGCTCTGGAAAATTGAAGTCAGGTTTTCAACCATGAACTAGAAAGCTCACATCAAACAGAAAATTTATGACAGCACCTTTGCTTCCACTAAAGAAATGCATTTCATATTTATTGAATATCTTTAAAAAATGTTATTATTAATAACATACTTTTTCAAAGGTAATCAATAAATATAAAGAATCAAATGCATATAGTAATTTCTTAGTTGCATATAAATTTTGTGGTCTTCCTATGGTATAGAACTGTAAAAATTAGTACTGCATGTATTCACAGGAATTGTTTTTTATGTTATCATGTAACATTGATGAATAAATGTATACTTTGTGATGAAATCGCACAAGATATCATCTTTTTTTAAAAGTTACATATAATGCCATTATCATCATTATGAAATCGATAAATTTACAAGGTAAACAGATTTCATACACACAGAAATGCCCCGGTGTTACTATCAAAGACTTTGATGGACTTGGATGGAATAGAATCTCATCTATTTTTCTTGAAACTTGGATGGGAATTAACCAATTACAGTGCAGTTTTTTCTTTGATCAAGTTTTTGATGAAAAACTTTAATAGTGACAACTAATGACTAAGACCAAGTTTACCTGATGAAAGTTTTCTTTGACCAAGTTTTTGAAAGTAGGTCAATTTCCATTGGTTTTTTGAACCAGAAACATGCAGTGCATATGTCGACAAAACGGATCTTTTGACATTATGTTTGTTATATCAAATTACTTATCAACTTCAATATTTAGTGTGTTTAACCCTGTGTCTGTTCCCTAGACCGAAATGTAGTTGAAATCTAGATGATCTAGTAAACTTTCATAAAACAAGAATGTGTCCATAGAACACGGATGTCCCACTTGCACTATCATTTTCTATGTTCAGTGGACCGTGCAATTGGGGTCAAACTCTAGTTTGGCTTTCAAATTAGATAGATCTTAGCATAGGGAACATGTGTACTAAGTTTCAAGTTGATTGGACTTCAACTTCATCAAAAACTACCTTGACCAAAAACTTTAACCTGACGTGGGCACTATCATTTTCTATGTTCAGTGGACCGTGAAATTGGGGGTCAAAACTCTAATAAAGGCATTAAAATTAGAAAGATCATACCATAGAGAACATGTGTACTAAGTTCCAAGTTGATTGGACTCCAACTTCATCAAAAACTACCTTGACCAAAAACTTTAACCTGAACCGGGACAGACGAACGGACAAATGGACAAACAAACAAACAAACGAACGTGCACACAGACCGAAAAACATAATGCCCCTAGGTGGGGCATAAAAATTTCTATTTTTGGTTTATTTTGGATGTAAATGTCAACTTTATGAGAATAGCTCGACAAAAATAACTTCATTTCAATTTCTTACATGCATATTTAATAACTTGCAACAATTTTTATCTTTAATCAATGGACTTAATATTAAGCGCCAAATAAGGCCCTTAATAAACATACTCCTTTGATGAATTGTTGACACCAGCATCATTTAATAGCATACCCACGTCTCAGGAGAAACAATTTTATTCTGGACAAGACTAAACTTGAGTATCATAGTATACCGATGCCCCCCAAAAATATTACTGAATAGAACAAATAAAACAGCTACTTTGTACCTCAGTGAATGTAAAACTAAACAATATAAAGGGAAAATGTAGGCTTGTTTGATTTAGATTTGAGAATGCATAGGATGTTGGGTAAATCACTCAGTTGCTTTTCTTTAATATTTATTTCATACGAACACTTCTACTAGTCGATTAGATAAAATGGGGATTTAAGACGACTATCTTGATGTTCTTTTAATAATAATTTTAAATAAAATAAAAATTAAAGAACTTTTATTGCAACTAAAATACAGGATGACAATGCATGATCAGTAGATTGTTGTTTTTCATCTGAACGATTATTTAATTGGGGAGACAATCAAATACTTTTCCTGAAAGGTTATTTACTGACTGCAGCTTAACTTGATAGAGCTTCAGTACTGAAACCCAGCACAGCTTCAATCATCAAAGTTAACTTCAAAAGAAAAAAAAAACAGATACGTTTCAAATTGTGCACCATATCATTAAAGTCTTCTTGTTTTGAAACCCCCATTAAAGTAATGGTTACAGCTTGTTAAAGTTGTTACATATATGACAAATGTATGAAGGTTGTAGGGATTATACATGTCACGAAGGAACAATTTACAATTTCATGTACAATGGAATGAGGGTACATGCATAGTGAAATGGGATTACACTGGTTACATGCATGTGGAATCTGGCTTAGTGTGGTTATATTTATAGGGAATAGGGGTTACAGTGGTTACATGCATAGGGAATGAGGGTTACAACATTGGTTAAATGCACGTGGAATCATGCTTAAAGTGGTTATATTCATAAGAAATGGGGTTACATGAATTGGAATGGGGTTTACAATGGTTACATGCATGTGGAATCATGCTTAAAATGGTTATATTCATAAGAAATGGGTTTACATGCATTGGAATGGGGTTTACAATGGTTACATGCACGTGGAATCATGCTTAAAATGGTTATATTCATAAGAAATGGGGTTACATGCATTGGAATGGGGTTTACAATGGTTACATGCATATGGAATCATGCTTAAAATGGTTATATTCATAAGAAATGGGGTTACAGTGGTTACATGCATAGTGAATGGAGGTTACAATATTACATGCATGGGGAATCAGGCTGAAAGTGGTTATATTCATAGTGAATGGGGGTTTAAATATTACATGCATGTGGAATGGTGGTTACAATAGCTACTTGCATAAGGAATGGGGGTTACAATAGCTACTTGCATAAGGAATGGGGGTTACAATAGTTACATGCATAGAGAATCAGGGTTACAATAGTTACATGCATGGGGAATCAGGCTTTAAATGGTTACAACTTACATGCATTGGAAATGACAGTAAATACATAAATAGGGAGTAAGGGAATAAGGGTTACAACCCTTACATATATATAGATTCTTACATTGGTACCAGTGGATTACAGGATTTATTCAAAAATCACAGGTAACTATGTAAGAATCTGTTTCTCTAATCATTTTCAAATAAATTTCATTTTCCATGAAAGAAAATCCCCTTAGAGTGCCCTCAACATTCCTAATTTCTACATGACACACTGATGAAATTGATGCCCAAAATCTTCATTTATGCATCTCTGGATCAAATGGAAGCAAATATTAATAAAAGACCACTTTTAATCAAGAGCATTGCATTTAATGAAATATATATTCATATCTAATAGTAAACAACAATTTCTGAAGATCAATCTATTTCCACGTAGTATAAGTTTTTATAAAGTTGTCAATTTCCCTAACACCTGTTAGCACATTTCGATTCATCTGGAGAGCTGATAAAGGTTATAACCTTTTAACTTAGCCAATCATCTACTGAGATCATCAGCAACCACAAGTTGCTTAAATTCTTTTAAACAATGGGTCCAGAAAGGGTTAAAATGCCAAAGAACTAGAGAAATAGGTAATAAGGGTTACAACTGTTACATAAATAGGAAATAAGGCAATTAGTGTTACAGCAGTTACAGACATAGGGCATAAAGGTTACAATAAATACATGCATGGGGATGTCCTTTGAAACCATTAAACTAAGGAAGATTACAAAACAAGACATCTGTAAAATGGTGCATATTTTAAGCCTTATATGTAAACAACACAGATTCTTCTCTGATCATGCATATCTAGACACTTAAACAACAAATAATCACATACATACGGGGTAAGTTTTCTGTGGCTTTTTTAATAAAAGGAGGTGGATGCACTATAAGACTTGGTGATGAAATTATAGCATCAGATTTTATTTAAAAATTTTAGAAAAAAGAAAAGAAAAGAAGTTTTTAATAATACTGAATGAGAAACAAGCCCATTGTAAATATCATATTATTTAGGTGTTTTGATTACTTTTACCGGTATATCATATAAAATAGTGTACAAAACATTGTACTTGATATATATCAGGGTTTTTACAAAAATCACTCTTGACAGACGAGTCCCAAGATGCAACAAGATTCAATAAAATGAGCTTGGTCTAGAAATCCTCATTTTATTACAAAAAGAAAAAAATGAACTTTGAAATCATACATGTACATATATATATCTTTTTTTAAACACATGTAACAATAATGCTATACTTTCAGTAAATCCATATCCATGACAGTGCCTTTATATCTCCATTACGGTTGCTCTTAAGGTCTTGCCCTTTGTCCCTAGTGTGATCTCTGAATATAAAGTACCCATGCCCTTTTCAAAAGCAGCAGGTAACACCTTAAAGGTTTTTCTTATGGGTGCTATAAATCTATAAACTTTGAAGAGTAACAGACTTAAAACTTACCTTGATGATAATTTTACGCCTTAACTTGTAAGGGGAAGGTAACTTTGAAAAATCCAGTGGTTCTACTGGATCCATTAGTAAATCCTCTGAAAAATATTCAAATGCTTATAAATCATCACCTTTTTATTGAATAGTGTTCAGCTGAAAATGAGCTTGTAATTGAGTGGTTGTCATTTATTGCTGTTTTTCATATTTGTTTTTTCATTTTTTGTTTGTATGTTATGCCATTACACCATTGTCCCAGGTTAAGGGAGGGTTGGTGCCACCCCATATGTTTTACCCTGCCACATTATTTATGTGTCTGTCCGAAGTCAGGAGACTGTAATTCAGTGGTTCTCGTTGGTTCATGTCTGTCATATTTGTTTTTCATAAACTGTTTTGTTATAAATTAGGCTATTAGTTTTCTCAATTGAATTGTTTCATATTTTTCATGTCAGGGCCTTTAAAAGTCGACTATATGGTATGAGTTTTTCTCATTGTTGAAGGCCGTATGGATGCCAATAATTGCTTACATCCACTTCATTTGAACTTTGGTGTATAGTTGTCTCATTGGCAATCATACTACATCTCCTTATTTTCTATATAAATCATGAACTGTTAATTGAACACTATTCAGCTGAAAATGTGTATGTTACTAGATCTCATCTTTATTTTATACATTCTTTCAAAACTTAGCAATAATCTTTCTAACATTTGATTTCATTGAAATTATGGGACAGAAAAGCAACAATTTCATCGTTTGAATAAACTTTTAAAAGTACTGATCGATAAATTTAAAGTATGGAAATGATACATAATAAATGGTTCCTCAATGAAATAAAGACATAAAATTTCAACCATTTTAGGTTTTACATAGTATATCAATTTCAGAAGGTGGAAAATTTTATGGGGAGATTAGAAAAAAAGAAAGCACAAAAAAAAAAATGCATGAAAAATCTGAGTGAAATTAAAATAAATTGTAAACACAGATTTATGTTTCGCCTCTTTGTAATTTTGATAGTAAAATGCAAATGTTGAAATTAAAATATCAATATGCAAATATATATACACATGCTCTAATGCAAAAACAACTGTGTACCAAAAATATTTGACTTATCATAAGTGGTTCCCCTCTTAATCTAACTCCAAAAAAATCAGTTTCTTTCTGGGATATTTCTAGACAAAGACGACATTATTCATACTTACCTCCAAATGTATCTTTGAAGGCCATGGCCATGTTTCTTTGTTGCCCTAATCCACAGTGATTTTCTATTGACAATATTAATGGATAACTGTAAATAAATAAGCACAATCAGTGTGCCTTTGTTATCAAACAGTAATTCAATATCTCAATTTTTAATTAAAATTTGCAAGATAATTGTATTTTTGTTATGAACTGTCATCAGAACTTCTCAATTAGCTGTTGCATTCTGGGTAATATTTTCAAAAGTGAACACCAAAAATGTCTAGCTTGGTTATAAGCGTTCTAAACATTGAAAATTCAACCAATTTCATTTTGGGGTACGAACAATGAAATTACCCACAGTCCTTTAGATTCTGAAACAACCAATTATGTAAGTGTTCAACCAATGTGTGTCTTTCTTTATATTGTAAATTTTCAATTCATAAATGATGCAAGGGGGGTCTCTTCCTATATGAAGGTATATACATATGTGCCGCTGGAATAGGTCCCTTTTTTGATACGTCAAATATATCAATGGGGTGCAATTTTACCGAGGAAATATATCAATAGGTAGTAATTGACCAATTGTGATATATCAATGGGTCATAATTTTTCAGTATGTTGTGCAACGATCTTCACTGAATTTCCAAAACTCTTTGTCATTAAAATTTCCACAGCTGCTGAAACTTATTGACACAAGTTTTGTTATTGATCAAATTTTATTTCACTGTCACAATTAATAATCTTTACCCACTAGAGTATAGTAAAAAAAAGGTCACATATCGAACCTTTTGCACTTATTGAATATATGAATGGGTTATGATTTCGCTGTGAAATATATGTATTGGTAGGGATTTCACAATATTTCAATATATGAATGGGGGGGGGGGGGTGTCTTTTAAATCCCAGCTGCACAACTGTACCCAAAATCCCATGTTGAGACCCCCCCCCCCCCCCCGTGAAATGATGTAAGAGAAGAGAAAGAAGGTACCAAACTAACAATAAACAACTGTAAGTTGAAGAAAAAACTGACAATACCATGGAAAAATAACCAAAAACAACTTTAAATAGCACAGCAGTCAATCAAACACTACATAGGAAATTTAGGACTGAGCAACAACTACCCAACCAAAAGCCAGGGCTAATATTGTACAATAAACTATAGTTGGAACTCCCTCTTTCAAAGTTAATAGAAATCAAACAAATGCGAAATTGTGGGGAAATTTGGTGACTTTGCTTTTTCTACTTTCCCATGTCATCAACAGTGTTGCTAGTTGGAGTCCATTCCCCGTCAATTTTTATGTTTTGTTGAAGATGCTAAGATCTGAATATGTATGAAATATAAACAGGCTGTTAAACTTCAAACAGTCAAGTAATTAGACTGTATGTAAACCATAACAATGTATAATCTGTCTTCTGATTTTTGATTATTTTTTCTGGGGTTGTATAATTGACATATACCCTACGTCTTCTTTACTTCATAATAAAATAAATAAATGTGGATAGTGTCCACATGTGGACACAGATGATGCCCCTGCTTTCATATCATATAGTTATAAAGGACATAACTGAAGAACGGTAAAAGCGACGCTACCCAAATTTGAACTTGATCTGTGTTTTGTGGTAATAAGCATTGTGTATAAGTTTCATAACATTTGGTTGAGGCAAACTTAAGTAAGAGAACGGAAACTAAAAATTTTGCAACTTTTCCATTTATAAAGGGGCATAACTCTAGAATGGTTAAAGTGATGCCACCAAAATTCAAACTTGATCTGTGTTTTGTGGTAATAAGCATTGTGTATAAGTTTCATAACATTTGGTTAAGGCAAACTTAAGTTAGAGAACAGAAACCAATTTTGGGACGTACGTACGTACAGACGGACAAGGGTAAAACTTAATGCCCCCTCCACTACAGCGGGGGCATAAAAAAAAAACTGCATGTTTATCTTACTCTGAAGCTGTCCAAGCATGTTCTTTGATAGCCTGTATCACATCTAAGAATTTGATCTTGGATGTCAATGTGTGACCATGAAATATACTTGGGTAACTGTCTGGACCATCCCAACAGTCCACTGAAAAATATAATATAATTAGATAATTATCTTAACCATTCAACCAAACCACTGAAAAACTAATATCAAATAATTATAGATTATTACATGGTATTTTCCATATTGGCCCTGGTATTAGCCCGAGACACGGATATCAAGCCAGAGGACTGAGACCATTGCCAATAAGGAAAATTCCATGTAATGATCTATTTATCACATATAACATGTGATAAAGTGGAATAATAGACTGAAGCATTTAAACGGTCCACTAAAAAAATGTTTGATATATATGTATAGTGAGATACTTGTCGGGACCATTTGAGCAATCCAATGGAAAAATATACAGTCTGAACAAGGCTAACAGTCCACTTCTAAATTAACAATCCATAATATATCTAAATAGTTGTCTGGGCCATCAAAACAGCCTTCCTTATAAAAGACCTTTGCAAATTATGTGGAGCTAATTATTTTGACTGTCCTTATATTCCACTCGAGTTCAAAAAAAATAAACTAAGATACTTGTCTAGACCATTCACATAATCCATTGTGAAAACAGCATGATAAATCAACAATCATGTACCTGATCCTAGTTAGAATTATCATCACAGTGTTTTGTCAACGTGATTATCCTAGATTTATTTTTATCAAGAATTGTGGTGGCTTAGAGTACTTGGAAAGTGTATGTTGACCTCTACATGTAATATCTGGTAGAAATTGTTGTTTGTAGTGGGTTTAATTGCCAGATCAAATACCTTGTATTCATCAGGGATAAGTCTCTACAGTATATGTTATAAATACACTAATTACAAATTTTTTTTATACTTCATAATACATGACGTTACTTTCTAAAGGTTACATATAATCATTTTCTTTTCCATCAAACCTTTACTTTCAAGCTTTTCCAGGAAACTGTTCTCTTTACGTCCATGTTGTCCAACTATGGACAATTTCATCTTATAGGTATAAACATCTATTTATACCGTTAATCTTAATTTATGAAAATACCTTTAGGATAATTTGCCGTTTCAGTGTCTAATGCATTCTGGGTAATATTTTCAAAAACCTACACAAAAACATTGTGATAAGTTTAAAATGTCCCTAAACAATTGAAATTCAACCAATGATGTAATGTTAATTTCACTAATAAGTTAATTGTACGAGCAATGAACTTACACATAGTCTTTTAGAATCTGAAAGGCTAATTACAATAATACTTACACTCTATACAACGACAACCCATACGCAAACATCTGACATAAGCATCTACTGATGAGTTACTGGATACCTGGTCCCCTGTTAAGTATCTGTAACAGTCATATAAGATATGTTAAGGATACTTATACTAATGATTTCCTTTATGTCTGTAACCTCCATGGCTTTTTTCAAATCAATGCATTAAAAATGTCTGTTAAGCATTTCCGTACTTCCAAATATATTTTATAAGGGCTGTACCACTAAAATGAATGTCAGAGGGTACAAGCGAAACTTTAATTTTGGACATTGGTCATTTTTGGTTGTATGTCCATTTGTTGTATACAAAATTACTCAAAGTATGTATGTTGGTTGAATGCTGATTTCAGAGTCTTTTCCTATCCTCCCCTGCACATCCATTTTAATGGAATAGCACTTAACATTTCGACAACATATTCAAAAATTCTTGTTATTTCAATCCTGTGTACTTTTATTTTGTTTTTAGTGTCTCCCACTAAAAACCTTTTTGGGACAGCCTTTACAAATATTTATGACAACATTACAGCTGGTCAAAGGCTACAGTTAATGGAGTAGAGAAGCCCACCCTGAGCTGCATGGGATTCACAACTAATATTTATACAGTCTTTGACAAAATTGAAAATAATGATAATGCATAAATAAATTACTGATTGCATTGATTTCAGGAGCAAGAGATGGAACTACCCTAGAAAATTAGACTTACGTATTATGAGAAGAAGCTATCCAATAATTTGAAAGTGGTAAATCCATATTTTGATTCACTTTATCATATTGACTGTCCCATAATGAATTTGCACTTGAAAATAAATAATCTTCAAACTGTAAAAGAAAAAAACAAGATTACAGTGTTCTCCCGAGACTGTTTTAGCGTCGCAGTACCGAGACGCTATATTTTTTCCCCGTGATGCTATAATAATTTCTGCGACGCTATAATTATTTTGAGGATGCTATTTTACTTGTCTCTATATCGCAAAACAATGTCCTAAATTTTGAACTTTCATCTAATTACCGCTTGTGATCATAAAAATTATATCACCTTTAATTCTAATCCTTTCAAGTCGGACAATAGAGACAATTTAGAGTGATTAAATAGGTGTTAATTGCCCTTTGGATGATAACTGTTTGGATACGAATACCCCAAGCTGACACTTGTGACATGACTTATACCATGTGGTCCAATCACAAATTTCGACATGGAGAAAATGTAATCAGAAAATCATAAAACAATTCCGAAATTTACATTTGCATAATGGAAATTCATAGATACAAATGATTTACCTCTTTAGAAAAGAAGTTTGGTCGTATATTTTTACAATCTTCAAAAAAATTACTTTCTTTCCCTTCTGGTACTACTTGTTCATCGAGAGCGTATATTAAACATTTCTATTTTGAGCTAAATAAGTTTGATACTTCTTTAGAAAGTGATCATAATTGGCTTTAGTTAATGCATTAAAAGCGTCATATTCATTCCCAATCTCTTGTCAAACATTGTTTATTTTCGTTAATTTTGCTTCAGCCGCCATTGAAATATTTATGTAAAATACGGATCGCAACTGGACCAGATATGACAAAATTGCATTTTTACAGTAATAACTACAGATGCACAAATGGCACAGTAGACAGAAAAAATGATCCCAAAAGAGAAAACTATGCATTCTACAAGCATTAACAGACTATTTGTTAGATCTCCTTGCTAAATGTAACCTTTTTTGAAAATGCATTGTTTCAATATACTGATTAAAGTAGCTTAACCTTGTTTAAAATATACATCATTTTGATATAAAGAAACAACTGGGACTAATTCATTGAATACCATGATACAATGAATTTCATAGCCATGATAAAGAAAAAAGTTTTTCAATTGAAATTTTATTGCTATATGTCATACTTTCTCTTCCCTTTTTAAATAAAAAACAGTTCTTTTTTTTATTAGATATTTAGTATTGTATATTTACAGGTTGCACTATAATAAACCATTCATTCATTCATTTAATTGGGTAGATAGGGTAACTGGAACCACACATATATTTTTATTTGGCCCAAGAGGAAAAAAATAATATTGTAACTATAAATGAATATAGAAAACATAAACTGAAAAAACTGTTATCATGGTTATAGTTTAATTGTATTCTCAGGTATGAATTGAAAAATATAAACATATATATCATAAAGGAAATAGAGCATCCATCGCTGAATCAGGACAAATGACATTGAAAAAAGTTAATTTTTTTACGCCAAATGTGATGCTATCCAAAATTTCTGGGGAGAACACTGGATTATTATTATTATTAATATCATTATTATACTTGAAATAATTTTTGTAAGCAAAATTCTAAATGAAAGAAGTATTTGATTATTTTCTATAATTGTTTAGACTATCTTTCAAAAATGAGCACCACCTATCTATATTTATAATAGAATTGCCTCCAAGGCCCAAATACAGTCAAGTTTGGAACAGCCCTGAGCTTCAAGTAAAATATTAAAGAAAACAAATCGCATATTTGAATTTTTTTTACTCATTTTGAGGTTAAATTACTTTATATTATTCTTTTTTACTATCAATTGCCTAGAAAGCATGATCAATCAAGCACAAAAAAACTAACAGACAAACATTTAATAACTTATCGCTTCTTGTGAAAACTGTTTTTTCTTTATAGAATAACTAATCAAAGAATTCAAATAGAGAAAAATATTCAACGAGTGACCGAACAACACATTAATTCACGAATGTGCGTAGCGCATGAGTTAATTATCAGTGTTGTTCGATCACGAGTTGAATATTTTTCGATATTTGAATTCTTTGATTAGTTATTCTTTTTATTACCTTGGCAAATGGCTTTTTTATGAAATTAAAGTAGAAAATGTAAGGAACTATATCTTTTTCTACGCATTCACAATTTGTTTTGATCCGACGTTATCAACGTCTTGACAACGCCTATTGTTGTATGACGTCGGAGGAGTGAAATAACCACGTTTATTTCACATGTGAAATTATCGGTTTTTATTTCACTGGGATATCAATGTAATTCATTGCAACCAATGTAATAATATTATATATTTACCTCACTATCTTCAAAATAAATATTTCCTTTATGTCTCATAGCATCAGCCACAAAATCGACCATCATTGTCTTCACTTGTGCCGTATTTTCTGCCCAAGATTCCTATAAAAACACAATAATAAAATGAACATGGAAATTCTTTGCAATATTTCAGAATAACATTAAAATGCACAAAATATTTCACGCTTGTACAAATCAACAATATCTAAGTGAAGGTCTCATTTTTGTTTATTATAAATTATGTAAAGTGCACAAAAATATCCATCCCTTGTACAAATCATGTTAAGAGTTCATTTTATGGATAAACTAATTTAACCACTGCAAGAAAAGTTAATGCATTAAAATCATAAAAATAACACAATTAAAAATTCACTTTTTCAGTAAATCTGTTTACAGATATTTCACTTTAAAAAGAAAAGAAATGTCTTGTTTACTCATGTAAGAAGAAGGGTGCTAATAACATTATTTTACTACAAAAAGGACTAAAACTAAAATTTTGACAAAAATCTTTTGTACAGTTATACATACTACAAATAACAAATTTTGAGAAAATTAAGTGAAAACAATAAACAATTATTACTCCAGATAATGGTTACAGGTATATGAAATTTTCAAGCATTATATATAAAACATAATACATATTTGAAAAAAAAATCCTGGAATTTAATGAGTCATACTCTTTTCTATGCATCCTTCATGAATCAACTTAATATTCAGGAAAAAATAGTAAAATTTAACATAACTTTGCTTTAAATATTATGTCGATCCACGAATGAAAACAGGCCTTTTATTCATGAAAAATGCCAAAATTACTAGTTTTTCATAATTCTACTAAATCAAAGATAACAAGATTTGTAATGACCACAACTGAATATGTGTTAACAGCACCCGGACAGACCCTTAGTTTTGTGAGCCAAACCCAGTATTATTCTTGACAGTATTATCAATTTTGTTCAACTGTCAGCTGAATGATGAAAATTGTTAATAAGTATTGTATAAAACAGGGCAAAATCTATTAATTGAAAACATATGTAAATGCTATCTGTACTGGGTCAAATTCTTGAACTACAAAAGGATATATTATTTAAAGAAGGATACTATTAATATACACATATTTTTTTGGCCAAAGTATTGCATTATTTTTAAGAATTTAGATCTTTAAGCATAAAAGAATTTTTCTTCTAAAAAAAGCCTTAAAACTGAATGCTTTACAAACCTTTTTTTTTTTGTAAATGAAGGGAAATGTGGGCCATATGTCAATGCAACAGTAACAGAACTCCTTAAAACAGAAGGCAACAATGGTTGAAAAATACCTAATAGGCAAGTGTTGTGATCTAAATAACCTTAGGTAATAACCTAAGTTGAGACAAGTTGATAATCAATTCTTCAAAGACTTGACTTGTCATCAGTAATTTATATGTTAGTGTTACAAATTGAACTGATTGTCTTACCTTTTGTTCATTCATCAGAAACTGCTGAAATTTACTAGGGGAGATAACTCTGTAAACATACAAAAGATACATGTAGCATATACTTATATATAAACGACTAACAAAATGCAACAAGTACATTAAATATTAACTTATATCAGTGTCACAGGAAATGGTTAAAAAGGCTATCAACAGTAGTTATTTAAAATTTCAATTTTTTTTTCGTCACTCTTCTATGTAATTTTTTTTCTTGTCTGCCTTTCTTCAACAGAAGTATTTTGATTACCCTGGGACTTTGGTATGTTTTTTTGTTTTGTTTTAAAGTGGATCATTTATACTTATTGAATCTCTTTAAGGATGTCCTCAGGTCAGGTTTATGAATTTTTGTCAGATTTTCGGACTTCTTGGGTTTTTTTCTACTATACAGGGTAAAATATTTTGCCCCATATCACCCACTTTTCTTTTCATAGAAGACTTTTAAATAGCTCATAAAAAGGTAGTTACCAAAATTTAAGCAGATTCTAGATTTTTTTACTTACGATTTGAGACCCAAATAATGACAATGCTAAATATAAGGTAAAAAGTCTGAGGCAGTCTTTTCCCGCAATTTAAAAACAATCAAATATCACAAAAAGGAGTTTCATAACATATCAATATTTTTAGCTTATTTTGTTCCTTTACTAATGCTCTTCTGACTTATAGTATCAATTTTAAATTCTTGATTTCTTCCCCCCCCCCCCCCCAAACTACATCCTTAAATGGATATAAAATTAACCTTGATGGGCAGCTGGAGCATTAAACATCTATCAATTATTCAATCTTATTTATAATTGATATTTTTCCTTACAAATTGAAAAGAAAAAAATACTTACTTTTTAGAATTCTGATAATCGGCAAATGTTTCTAAATAATTTTCAATAACCTGAAAAACAGAAAAAATATGAAATGTAAAGTGCAGACGACAGCTATGAAAATCTGTTCTGATGATGAATACCTTGTAAAGGCTGTTCAATTCAAGCATATATGGTACACAGGGAAGGGACTTTCAAAAAGGGGTAACCACCTTAAGAGGCAAATTTAGAATTCTATTTACATTTTCACTGTACTTGACAGCCACTCATAATGGAGATCATAAAGTGCCTTCCATGGGTCCCATGTATGCCTTTTTTAAACAGCCCTAAGAAAAGTCTAAAAAGAGCTTTGAAATTTGAAAATAAATTGTGCACTTATTGTTATTTTTCATAAACATATCCCTTCTGTCTTGAAATAGTTTCACATTTAGCCTACACAAAAGGGAAAGTAAGTTAAAGTTGTGGAATAAAGCATTTATTTCCCTTACCTTAGGGAGATATGAAGACTTGTTGTCATATTTCCCTAAGGCAAGGAAAATAAATGAATATCATTCTACTGTATGTAAATATTGATAGCAAAATCAACATCTGATTGGTGTAGACTATCCCATGTGACACTGAATTAAACTTCATATTTCCCTGTGAACATCGGGACTTCTTTGTGAAACGAAACGCGCTGTTCATGTATATAACGTTTTGAAGGTTTTTTCAATAGCGATAGTATAGTAATTTTACATGCGCTTCTCATGGTAACTCTTGCATAATATTGGTTTATAAAAATTAACTTTTGATCAGTACTGTTTATCAATGTTTATGTCATGTTTAGTTATAAATACAAGCGGGTAAGAAACCGAAATATGTCATTTAATATCTTATGTTCAGGAAGTAAAAAACGTATAGGCAGTGGGAAAAAACATTTATTTCCCTTGGCTTAGGGAGATATGAAGATTTGTTCACCCTCTTGAAATATGAATTTTCTTGGGTGAACAAATCTTCATATCTCCCTCAGGCACGGGAATTAAAATGAATATTGTTCCACTAAAGTGTACTTACCCATGGTACATGTATGATTTTCTTAAATAACAAGATGAAGTACTGGTACGGTATTGATTCGGACGCTTTAGCAACTTCCTGGAACTTGTCTCTCAAATCTCTGTTGTTTATCTTACAATTTATTTTCTGCATCCAGGCTTTGAAATGCTTCAATGTTACTCTGTTAAACATAGAAAATCAGTTACACAAAATATGAAATTTTCTTAAAATTAGTTTCCTAATTATAACAAATTTGGATATTTTTAGTGTCTTTGGGTTGCTGTCTGATTGTAGTATGTCGTAAATTTTCCTTTTTTTTTACAGAATAATACAGAAACATTTTACCTGTGTTAATTATATGTGAAAAATAATATATTGAGACTTTTTTTTTTAAATCTACTATTTGCAAAGAACTTAAACATAAATAAAAATTAACATATCGATGTCTAAAGCACCAAAACTAGAATCTGATATATTAAGCAATTAAAATGAAGCAATGGTCATATTCTGCTATTAGTAGTTGAGATGTCATCCCCAATTGAACCAGGATTACATTTGCCACATGTAAAGCAACAACTGCTTATATAAATAAGAAAATGTGGTATGAGTGCCAATGAGACAACTCTCCATCCAAGTCACAATGTATAAAAAGTTAACAATTATAGGTCAAAGTACAGCCTTCAACAAGGAGCCTTGGCTCACACTGAACAGCAAGCTATAAAGGGCCCCAAAATGACTAGTGTAAAACAATTCAAACAGGAAAACCAATGGTTATACACACCTAGAGTATCAGTATTCTTACAATGGTTTCTTAAATTTATTTTTTTCTGCTCACAGGTTTATCTTTACCATCTTTGTCTGTAGCTTTGTAAATTTATTTCCTCTTGATATCTTTGAACCTCGACAAGTTCTGTAGTATTGAGATAAAATGCTTGCTTTGTATGTGAACGATATTAGGTTTGATCTGTGGCTTATTCAAACATTAAGCACACAGAATGGAAATGTTGAAGTCAGATTAATAGGTATTGGTATAATAAGGGAGCAACCATTTAACTTCAAAGAAGGGGGGGGGTTATGGTTTTTTGTCTGAGTCAGAAAAAAAATTTGTGCAAAGCACGAACATTTTTTTTAAATTTTTCAACACTATCAATCAAATTATTTTTATCAAAATTTAACACTATAAGGTTTGGGGAAAATCTGGATTCAGAATATTTTTTTTGTCATCTGCTTGACCACAATATTTTTTTTCATCAAATTGGGGATCAGAATATTTTTTTAGGAAAAAACCATAACCCCCCCTTGAAGTTAAATGGTCGTTCTCTAAGATGTCATCTTGTTACTGTGTATTACAAAGCAGGGTTTATTTTACAAATATCAACAAGTTTTTGTTCAAATATGGTTGAAATATTGGCCACTGGAGTTTCAAATTGTGTGAATATAGTTTCAGGTTACTTACGTATCTGCTCCACTCTTTTCCATCAAATAGAATTCTCTTCTTAACCATCTGAAAAAATTCTTATGATTTTAAACTTGTAACAATCAAAACTGATTTATTTTGTCAAAATAAAACAGGTATCAGGGTTTCAGAATACTTTTGGTCAAGAACGTTATTAACACAACCTTATCAAGTGTTGTTTTGGATCTTTTTTTATTTGATTATTTCATGGTTGGTGGTGGGTTCTGGGTTGCTGATGTTGGTCAAATGTTCTTCTTTTGGTTCTTGTCTTTTATTGCAAATTTTTGTATTACCTAAACATATTATAGTTGACTGATATTAGATAAAACATGTTATTTAAAAATAGACAGTAATGTACAAACTCTCTCAGGCTGATTTGAAAATAAATTCAATTTGCCCCTTTCTTTCAATTCTTTTTTGTTTTCCCTTCCAAATTTTCCATGCATCTTTTGACTTCCAAATATTCTGGCTCTGAGCTTAGCCATGTTAGCTGTAGAATTTTAATCAGGAAAGCTCATCAAATGCAGCAAATTCTAACTGTTTGATTTAAATTTTTCCTGAACATTTTGTTACTCCTTTGGTTTTTCCCCAGGCCTATGCAATACAAATCTGCCGTAGCAAACCCTTCATTTTATAATATGTTTTGAAAGAATAAATCACAAATATGTACACAAGTAACAAAATCGTTTCTAATTCTTGTTATTCTGATGTATTTTTCATATAGTAAAGGATAAATCTAGACAAATCAATTGTACACCAAAATTTAAATATGGAAGTTTTGTGTACCAAGTACATCAAAGACAAGCACACAACCTTGTTTTTATTTTTTCAGGGTTTTTGATGTATCATACTATTTTCTCGCTGCCTTGAAGAACCATTTATGGCCTTAGGCTGTTTTCTGCTCTTTGATCATGTTGTTGTCTCCTTGACACATTCCCTGTTTCCATTCTCTTTTCTATTACATGACACACCTATTGAAAATTATTTTTGTTGATTGATTGATCATTATTTTAACGTCCAGTTGGAAATATCTGATACATTTTCATGACGAGTTTTAGAAGACTTTCTTAAGTGTTGTTACCTTTCTAGCTGTATCTGATATGTAGCATTTTTAGCTGATTCCTCCAACTTTTGTAAACCAAACTTCCATGTCCTGTACTCATCTAAACTGGACGCTGAAATGTCATTGAAGTCAAAAGTCAGTAAAATTTAAGGGATTATACATTTATATACTATAACAACACAAGATCTATACATGTAGCTCTTTTTCAAAAATCTTACATCTAGGACCTAAGATTTGTAAAAATTGTTCATTATCATAAAGTAACAACATTATTCCATATGTGATAAAATACAAAATATTCTCAATATTTCTCACAAAGTACCAATTTCTTGGTAGCAAAAAAAAAATAACACTACTTTACATATGAAATTTTTTTTTTAAAAAAGAAGCAAAATTTTTGAACTCACCAACAAGAGATAAATTTTTAAGTTTGAATTCTGATCCGTAGAAAATAACAAAACAGAGAGCATTGTCCATCTTCCTGGCATCGTCCGGCCACTTCTCAAAATCTTTTGAGTTTTTCCCTTCTCGTACTTCTCTCACTTCCCGCAAATTTACTGAAAATATAAAATAATGAAAAATCTACTTTATCATTATTATAAATATTGTTCACAGAACATTTCTTAACAAAATTCTGAGGTTATACTATATTTCTGTGTTCAGTAAACCTAGTAATTGGGGTAAAATCCTGTACTTGGCATATATCTTTTTTAATAGTTCACATCATAATGAACATGTGTACTAGGTTTCAAGTTGATGCAACCACAGAAAACTTCATTTTACCAAGTAACTAACTTAACCAAAAACTTGAAGTTGAAAATGTAGTGATTCAACACTACTGTGTTGATTCCACACCACTATGGTGATTCCACACTACTGTGGATTCATTTAGTTTCAGGGTTACCAATTTTCGTGGATTAAGGAAAAATTATTATTTTTTTGAATATTTGATTTTGTGGTTTTACAAAAGCATGCATACAAACCTACATGTATATATATGCAATTTGTACTTCGTTGAACATTGAAATTCATGTTTCACCTTTAAACAAGAAAGCCACAAAAATTGGTATTCCACGAAACACATGTTCAGCAAACTATGAAATCAGGATCAAAATCTAAAATTTGGATATAATTTTAATAATTCACATCATAACAAACATTTGTGCTAAGTTTCAAGTGGATGTGACCACAACTTCCTTGTAAACTACCTCAAACAAAAATACTTAAAACCTGAAAATGTATTGATTTCACACTATCACATTTCCATGTTCAGTGAACCATGAAAATAAATAATATAAGTCTGTTTATTATTTTTCTGGAAAAGAAATGTAATAATAAGCTTAGACCTGATTGTCCTTGATAATAAACATTTTGACAAAAAAGTTTTCAAATAATGGTCAGTCAGTAGTAAATTATATATATCTCTTTCAGATTAAGGGTCAAAAGAGGTAAACAATATTATATTAATGGATCGACTGAGATCAGAGGCCTGCCACCAGAAAACTAGGGAAAATTGAATTAACTCATTTGGTCTGACAATACTTCTTGCAGTCAACTTCAACCCTAATGAACATTCTCACAACATTGTAAATAAGCAAAAAGCTGTACTTCACAGTGTTTATTGGGAAATATATCTTCTATAAAACAGCTAATCTTAATATGTTTGTTGATAAATATGTCTAAAGAAACCATGCTAACCAAAAGTCAGTAATACAGATCACACAAGGTGTTTTATTTAAAACATGCATTGAGGTGATTATTCACCCAGATTGGTGGTGATTGTAAGTGATTCACTCTGAAATATCTCCCTGCATAAATTTTAAAATAGTATTTATCAGTGTCATAAAAACAGTGTTTTCCCCTTCAATGACCCTCATGTTTACTCCTCACCAGTTAGAGGTTTTTCCCCCAGGGAATAACCATGTGGGCACTGTGTACTGTACAAGGAAGACATTGAAAACTTGCACATCAAGAAGTGGAATAATATTTGATTAAAAATTTAAGTTAATTTAAAACATATTAATTAGCAGAAGTTTTTCTAATTAATTTTTGTAGAACAGCACAAAGTTAATTTAATTCAAACTTTGCTCTTAAAATCTCACATTGCAATATAGACAGAGTAAATTCTTCATATATTTCTCTGCTTTGACAATTTTGACAGTATTTATCATTTTAACTGTTATAGATGATCTATTATTTTTCTTTGCAAACTTAATCACGCTAGTAAAAGAGCAAGTTTTCAATGTATAACAAGTCAGTAAAAGTTAAGTAATATGTATACTTATATTCTTCGTTTTCTTTATTTTCTCATTTTTCTGTTGTTTTTCATCTTCAAAGGACAATCTCATGTTAGTTATATCAGAGAATATTCAAACCTCACCTCTAATGTCTTTTAAATATACCGATGTATTCAAAACATAGGACATATATTTTAATCCATTTTTATTTGCTTTTTTTGCATTTTTTTCTACGGACCAACAATACCTAGAGATGTAAGGCAATAATATGCCACCAAGGATGCTGGTGAATAATTTGACAGACTGAATAACTGCAGTAGAAACCTCCCGGGACTTTATAACACCAAGGCCAGTCTTCGCGCTGAAACACAGGCCCACTAGCCCAGGCTTGTAAACATGCTGTCGGGCCTGTAAAAATCATCTCTACTGAGGCCCATAGAATTTAACTAAAATTTTCATAAAATTCTGCTTCGCGTCTGTAGATTCAAAAGTTTATCGTGAAGACTGCGAAGGCACGTATCTCTTTTACCATAAATGCAATCTGAATACAATTTATAACAGAATGTATCTTAAATCAGTTTTGTAAATATTGTGCTATAATTTTTTGATAACTAGAACAGATTTCGTGGTAGAGTGTTTACTTCAAATACAGGTATCATCATTAGCATGGTCAAACCAAAGCCTTTAAAATAGACATTTGCTGCTTCTTGTCTAAGCACCCAGATTTAGGAATAAGACTAGAGACTTGTAGACCCAGAGTCACAATAATGTGTCCAGGTAGGTTACAGGGTGACATGTTTTCTTGTAGACCGTCACCTTGTCAGTTAGCACGTTAAAATTCAGTCTCAGTGTGTCGGGTTTAGTACAAAGCAGAGTTTATATTCATTGCACATATACAAGCTCACGTCCTGAATATGCATTTTATTGCCTCTAGACGTTAAACAGATATCCATCATCATCATTTTAGATAATCAAAGTGCTTGTAAACACTAGGGTAAAGAAAATGTTTAAACCTGCTGCAATTGTATGCACCTGTCTTAAACCAGGAGCCTGTTGTTCAGTGGTTGTCGTTTGTTGGTTTGGTTCATAAGTGTTTCTCGTTTTTTATATAGATTAGACTGTTGGTTTTCCTGTTTGAATTGTTTTACACTAGTCATTTTGGGGCCATTTATAGCTTGCTGTTCGGTGTGAGCCAATGCTCTGTGTGTTGGCCATACTTTGACCTATAATTGTTTACTTTTTACATATTGTGACTTGGATTGAGAGTTGTCTCATTGGCACTCATACCACATCTTCTTATTTATATTTAATCTATCAGTGGGAAGTAAAATCAAACAAAGCATTGATTGTAGTTGATTCAACTAGAATTATATACATGATAATGACATCATTAATAAACTCAGAACAGATATAAGATTCCTGCACCTTGCACAAGTTACATAATTTTCTTGACAAGTATATATATATAACATCATTTTGTAACTTGAATATGTGAGCATATATTTCAATGAAAAATTTCTGGAAATGTTCATGGATAGGATGTGTATAGAATGTTATGATCAATGCACTATATTTTGTGTAACTCAAACGTAGTGAAACGGATTGGAAAATTGATAACACATATTGGTTTTGATTGCATGAATGCAATCTTTACCCAAAAAAGAGGTATTTCAAATCCCATAGTGCTGTATAATAATACTGGGGAGAACACTGATTGCAATAATAAAGTAAGTCATTTAAAGTACCTAACTTTAACATATATATATATTTCTCATATTTATACTTAGGCTTAATAAATACATATATTGCCAACAATATAAACTTTAAGCAAATAACGACCCTACCACACAGGTCGTAAAATTAATAATTCTTTTATCTTTAAAATTCCTTAACAGCTGTTTTTGGGGTTTTTTTTTTAAAAGATGAGTGATAAATTACTGTTACATGTAATTTAAATTTCAAGTGTAAAAGAGTACAACAAAATTACCTAATTCCAAGGTAAAGTCAAAAAGGGGAAGTCCATAAAAAATGACAAAATCAAATCCCACTCATTTTTTTTCGCGGTTTTTCTAATTTCTTGATGTCTTTAGGAAAGTCTAAACCCAAGTGTTACATACTCTCGACAATTTATATTTGCATTATTTTTCTACTCCTGACAGTCTCGAAAAAATTATTTGGTTTACAGTATATGAAACAAAGGTTTCAACTGATCATGCTGATATAGAAATAAGAAGATGTGGTATGAGTGCCAATGAGACAACTCTACATCCAAGTCACAATGTGTAAAAAGTAAACAATTAAAGGTCAAAGTACGGCCTTCAACACGGAGCCTTGGCTCCCACCGAACAGCAATATATAAAGGGCCCAAAAATGACTAGTGTAAAACAAATCAAACAGGAAAACCAATGGTCTAATCTATATAAAATACGAGAAACGAGAAACACTTAAGAACCACATCAACAAACGACAACCACTGAAACAGGTTCCGGACTTAGGACAGGTGCAAACAAATGCAGCGGGTTTAAACGTTTTAACAGGTGCCAACCTTCCCCCTAACCTGAAATAGTAGCGTAACATTACATCATAGAAAGACACACTATAAAATATCAATTAAAATATCAATTGAGACTGATGACCTTGGCTGATTATTGTAATATCCAGTGTAGTCAGATCATTTATGTAATGGAATGAAAATTTTGTAACACTGAATAACAATTCCTTTTCACACAATTATTTTGAAACACTAACAAAAGCATAGATGCCAGTAAAATGTAATCCGAAATTCTTTTAACTCATTATAATAGAAAAAATTCTTGATATCATCTTTTTCATGAGTTTTCAAACTTTTTTTTTCTGCAGACTGATAAATATTATCATTTAGCTTCAATTTTTCAACTGAACTATAAAAAAACCAAGGCGAAATTTATTAATGAACCAAATAAACCAAAATAAAATATTATGCAATATACAGGAAAACATTTTTTTTAATGTGAAAGTGTGTCCTTAAAACGTTTTTATATGCATGTATATATATTTTACACATTTAATTACGAAGAATGAGGAAGGAAAATATGCCAGAGTTTTAATAATACCAATAAAGTTAGTTTATGTTTACTTAGAATCTTGAGCTGACTAAATATTTATGGTTTAGTAATTCCAGAATCAATATTACATAGTAATTTCCACAGGGAAGTGAAATTCTATAGACTGTCAAAGTAAACCTGACCTCAGTTATAAGATCTAAATGTCATCTCCTTTTATTCAATTTAAATTATTCTGGAAGGTCTTTATACATAATACGGAGAAACTGAACCAAACTATACAACTTCCTTCATTTACTTGGGAAATCAGTATCATAAATGTCTTTTGTGTTTTGGTAATTTTTTTTTGTGTCTTTACGGCATTGTCTCTTTCAGTGGGATATCCAGTGAACGAAAACAAAAGAAAATTCACTCTTCTTATGATAGAGTCGAGTAAGTCAACAATAAAACAATACCAGTGACGATACTGATCAAAAGTTATTTCTGAATAATGATTGTACATTTTAAAGAATCTATTTGTTAAACTGTGTTATTAGAAATATACATGTAAATACACAATGTTTTATGTTCAGTATTAATTGAGATAATTGCTTTAGAAGCTTGTGAAACTGAAATTTAAAAACTGCCAATTTTTGTTGCATATTGATAAAAAAAATTGAAAAAAAATCATGTGCATACAAAATCTAAAGATCTTTCGGGTCACCAATTTTCTGAGTGTTCCAAAAAGTCCTTAGCATGTTACAATTTCCCAAAGTATGCTTATTTTTTCACTCCTAAGTTATCGAGCACACCAATCTGCTCTTGTCACATGTACATTCAATAGAGAACTCATAATTGTCTTTTCGTGAATATAAACATTTAAAAGTCTGTCCCTCTGTGCAGGTTAAAAAATAAAAGATAATAATTTTTATAAAGTAAGTATCTTTCTACTATTTTGTACACAATTTTAAGAAAAGGTCGTCTCAAGTTTTGTACAATAATTTGTGGTCTTCTCGATCTATTTGCATTCCATGTTTACATCAAGAGAAGGTCTGTTTGATTTTGCATAGTAACTTTATTTAAAAAGTGCCAATCTTTGCTGCATATCAATCGATTCCTTTGAAATTTTTTCCCTGACTTTCTCTGATCTAGCTGTATATATATACGAATAATTAGCATGTTCCAGAGAGGTATACAGACAGTAAAAAAATAAATTGAAGTTGGTACTCCAGGAATTTATTTGCATAGCAACATTTTAAACCAATTTTACTCCAAGCATCTATAGCCTGCTGTACTCGTCGTTTGCTACTTAAGGAGGAAAATGATAACATTGAGTGGAAGTTTTATTTCAATTCATTTCTATTACTATTAACCAGAACGTTTTTCTGTGAATCCATAATTGATAGGGTCCAGACTCCTTGCTAAAATGGGACAAACATTGAGAAGATCTAGTTTTCAGTGTTTACAGGGGAGGTAATACTTTGTCACTAGATTTCCCACTGCTTTGATGTATATTCATATTTACTTTTTATTCATATAAAATAGAATCAAATTGATACAATTCATTACTCAAAACCTGAACTCTTTAAGAGATTTACCTTAAAACCCTAAGAGTAAAAGGACTTCAAAAGTAAACAAACATGACAAAAGGCCTGATGTATTAATTCATTATCATGATTATAGACAAATTAATCTTTTCATAATATGATAAGTGCATTTACTGCCAGTAAACCATTTAACTCTTTTCAGCCAACTTTGTGTCAATTTACTTTCATAGTTTTCTTATTTTCTTGATATCTAAATATAAGGGAAGTCTGCACCCAAGTGTTACATATTCGCGACAATTTATATTCACATTATTTTTCTATTTGGGAAAGACATGAAAATACATTGCTCGTGAAAATAACATTTGTAGTTGTTTTACAGTATACGGAACTAAGTTTATAAGGTTTTAACTTCCTCAGGCAAAGTTGACCTATGATGGATTTAACTATTTATTTTTAGGTCCATTTTAGTTATATAGCTCTTCACATGTTTCAAGTCTTATACATCCTTGGCTTTCAATTTTTTTG